CGCAACTGTGAAATGTTGTCAATAGATGCTCAAGAGACCCTGGGGAGAGGTCATGCCCCTGCTACAGGGGAAGCAAACCCCAGCTCTCGAGACATCGATGCCTCTGGACTCCTTGCGCGTGGACGAGCCGCGTTGCCCGGCTCCGCAGGAGAACGGAGGACAAAGTCATTCAGACGTGCAAAGCGCGTTCGAGTCCTTGGGCACCATAAAAGCAGCCGTCAGGGTCAGGATATTTCCCACCCAGCTAAACTAGCGAGAGATGTGATCCATAAGGCAGTGATTCCCAACCAGGCGCCCCAGCACCCTGGGGTGCCTCGAGATCCCTCCAAGGGTGCTGCAGGGGCAGGAACGATTCACAAGATCAGCCCAGAGATCTCAAACAGGAATGCACCGCGTTAAAGCATTCTGCTCTGTTGTGTCTTTCCGAGCTCTTTGCAAGAAAGAAAATGGCTCTGTTATTTTTTCCGCAGTCGAAAAGGAGTGAAAACGAAGCGGTGGCATTTTCCAAGGAGGCCTTGAGCCAAAAAACATTGAGAACTACGGCTCTAAGGGGCTGTCAGGAAGGGAGAAGAGGTACTTCAGCGAAAGGGCAGGAACTAATCAAGGTGAGCTAGCCAGGAGTACGCGTAGGCTGGAAACGAGAGGCAGGTTTCTGCCCACCTGAGCAGCGGTGCTGGGGAGAGGCACAAAACCCAGCTCCTTTTTAAGATGGAGCTGGATCGGTATCGACACGGGTCCCTGCAATACCAGGGACTGGGCTTGGAGGCCTGGAAGGGGCCCTTGGTCCTGCGGCATCAAGGCCAAGGACAGTGGAGAAGATGCTTGGACACCTTCCCGGGAGAAAGACGCTTGATCCTTCGAAGGCACAAATGAAGCTGGAACAGATCCCAGGCTGCTGGCTAGTGCAACCCTACGGCCTTTGGCTCAAGGACTCGGCTCTGGTGATTCTGGTGGACTGCAAGGTGGATGGAAAACTGGCTGGAGCATCAGGCTCAGAGGGTAGTGGTCAATGGCTCGATGTCTAGTTGGCAGCTGGTATCAAGCGCAGCGCCCCAGGGGTCGGTCCTGGGGCCGCTTTTGTTCAATGTCTTCATCGGCGACCTGGACGATGGGATGGAGCACACCCTCAGCAAGTCTGCAGATGACACCAAGGTAGGGGGTGTAGTGGGTACACTGGAGGGTAGGGCTAGGATTCAGAGTGACCTTGACAAATTGGAGGATTGGACCAAAAGAAATCTCATGCAGTTCAACAAGGACAAGTGCAAAGTCCTGCACTGAGGAGGGAGCGATCCCCTGCACCGGTGCAGGCTGGGGGTGATGGGCTGGGCAGCAGCCCTGCAGAAAAGGGCCTGGGGGGACAGGGGACAAGAAGCTGAACAGGAGCCAGCAGAGTGCCCTTGGTGCCAAGAAGGCAACCAGCATACTGAGCTGCATTGGTAGGAGCGTTGCCAGCAGATTTAGGGCAGTGATCCTTCCCCTCTATTCTGCACTGGGGAGGCCACATCTGGAGTCCTGTGTCCAGCTGTGGGCCCCCACGACAGAAAGGATGTGGACACATTGGAGAGAGTCCAGTGGAGGGCAATGAAAATGGCTGAGAGGCTGGGAGGCATGACTGGTGAGGAGAGGCCGAGGGAACTGGGCTGATTTAGTCTGGAGAAGAGCAGACCGAGGGGGACTGAATAGCAGCCTTCACCTCCCTGCAGGGGGGCTGCAAAGAGGATGGAGCTGGGCTGTCCTCAGTGGGGGCAGATGGCAGGACAAGGAGCAATGGGCTCAAGATGCAGCAAGGGAAGCTGAGGTTGGATATTAGGAAGAATTTTCTCATGAGGAGGGTACTAAAACACTGGAACAGGCTCCGCAGAGAGTTGGAGGGATCTCCATCCTTGGAGGTTTTCCAAGACCCAGGTAGACAAAGCCGTGTCTGGGATGATGAAGTTGGGGCTGGTCCTGCTTGGAGCAGGGGGTTGGACTCGATGTGACTCCTGAGCTCCCTTCCAGCCCTTATTTTCTATGTTTCACAGACTGGAGACATGGGGCCAGGCTGGCTGGGACCCGTTGGATGAACAGGAGGAGCGGAGTGGTTCCTCCTTCCACGAGCCCCGCTGGGTCCCCACATGGGGCCCCTTGGGAAGCACCTCTTCAGGTGGGTCTGGAACAGGGGTGGGCAAAATGTGGCCCGCGGGCTTGATGCGGCCCGCCAGCCCATTGTATCCGGCCCGCAGGGCCCCTACAAAATTTAGAAAATTGATATTGATCTGCCCCTGGCTGCCTGTCATGCATCCCTTGATGGCTTGCCACAACTCAGTAAGCAGCCCTCCGCCTGAAATTATTGCTCACCCCTGGTCTGGAATTTCCCTGGATCCTTGAACAGATCCTTTCCCGCATGACCCTGTCCTCCAGATCCTCTGCAGTGGGATCACACTTCTTTGCATCCTGTCTTCCCCCTACCCCGGGAGCAGTCAACATCTGGCTCCTAAGACTTTCAAGCCTTGGAACCAGGGAAGGCAACTTGGTGGTTGGATCGGGCTGACTGGAACCTGGATTTGCCTCCCAGGGGATCCTACCCCAGGATGAATGTCCAATCAAAGGCGAGATGGGATCTGATCTGCGATCCCAGCAATTGCACCTATTTTGTGCAACAGCTTTGTGGCTTGTCCCATTTTGTTGAGCTATGAACTGAATAAGAACATCAGCAGGGCCAGGCTGGGCCAGACCAATGGTCCATCTAGCCCAGCATCCCGTCCCTGACACTTGCAGAAGTGGATGCTCTAGAGAGAGTGCGTTGAACCAGGTCTCTCTAGTGATCTACCCGCTGTTCAGTATCCTCCTGACCTCCATTTATTGGGTTAGAGATGCCAGAGGAAACATCTCCAACCATTATGTTCAAGAGCACTGAGCAGGACAAGCAGAGCAGTAGATCAGGCAGGGAGCACGGTGCAAAAAGCAGAGCAAGGAGCATGGGGCATTGAGCGGGAAGCAGAGCAGCAAATTGGTTAGAGAGTACAGGGCATTGAGAAGAAAACAGAGCAGCAGGTCAAGCGGGGAGCATGGAGCCGAAAGCAGAGCAGCAGATTGGGCAAGGAGCACAGGGAAGGGGCACAAGACTCTGAAACAATGGGGTGGTGGGAGGCGTCCGCTGGTTCAGCATCTGGATCTGCCCCAGGACGCCCGCCTCTGACATCGCCTCCAGGGCCGAAAGCTCACCAGGTTCAGCCGTCTCTGGCCGGTCTCTGGAGAAAGTAAGCAGAATAGTTTCCGAAGGGCACCCCGCAGCGTAGAGGGTGCCCGCTGCTTTGGTGGCAGGATTTTTAAAGAGAACGGTTCAAACTAACTTCCGAGACGCTCATTGGAAATAACATCACAAGACTCTCCGCTGATGCCATTTCGGAGGTCACTTGCCGGCTCTACAGCAAGGAGCCCCATTGAGAGGGCTTAAGAGCTCCTCTTCTCTCTCCTCTGGAGAAAGCAGCTCTAAGAAGCTGCCCAGATTGGATCCTGAGCTGTCTAATCCCATTTAGTCGGGTCCCTGCACCACCTTTGATCCGCCTTTGGGGTCTACTTAACCCCAGCCTGAGGCTTTTCATCTTTGGAGAACTTTAGACACGCTTCTTAGTCCTGCAACAGCCGTGTGCCTCCGGACAAAATCAGGACCGTCTCCATTGTCCAGCTGGAGGAGCGAGCATTGAGGCCAGCGGGCCTGCCCCGGACAGCCCTGGCTCGGTGATGTCCAACGGAGCTGCAGACGCTCTGCGCTTCGCCTCCTGGTGAGCTCAGAGCAAACGAGACCCCGGCTCCGAGCCCTGGCACCTGGCCCGAAGTGGCAGTTCCTCTAACTCACCCCCGAGATCACCTTCCCGAGGAGCAGCGGTGCTCAAGCTGTTTGCCTGGCGGGCTGGATGGACAATGCCAGGTCTGTCCGTGGGATGGATCTGGCTGGGGGTCCAGATGTAGCGCTCAGGGTGGGCACAGCCCCATCTGGCCATGTGAAGGGACGGGAGCGTGGCACAACCCCATCCTCGTCATGCAGAGAGAAGGGGGCACGGCCCATCTCCGACCTGCCACGCATGGCTGGGAATTCGGCCGCGGGCGGCCGTATTAACGGCCATTGCTCCCCCATCACCAAATTCCCCGAGCCACGGGGAGCCCCACAGGCCAGATGCCATGGCTCCCCAGGCTGGATCTGGCCTGCCAGCCAGACCTTGAACACCCCTGCCTAGAAGGACCGCGAAGCACACGACAAACCAGCGCACAAATGCCCACCTCTGCTGCGAGGCTCAGGACCGCTAGTCCCATCTCTCTATTGGCAAGTTACTAGGTAGGAAGGTCCAGCTCCAGCTGTTTGAGCAACATCTGGAGCCTGGCACTTCAAACACAGCATCACCTTTGCCCACTCGCTGGAGGTGCCGTTCCCCGGGCCCTGCTCTGGGGACGGAGAATGGGCGAGAGCATTTTCCCAGGATCTCTCTCATTCAAGCAAGGCTCCCAGACCCCACGGGAAGCCAGAGCGGTGCACGATCCCCAGCTTCCTCCCTGTGCTTCAGCCCACAACAGACTTTCCCTAGGAGATGAAGAGAGGCATTTCCCCTCCTATCCCCCCCCGCCACCTCCAAATCCACGTCCTCATTTATTTTGCCTTTTTCCACACATCAGCTGCTCCTACGCGTCAGCCCCTTGCCCGTCGGATCCGCTATTACGCGAATAAACACGTGCGTGACCACAGC